GAGTTGGCGATCACTTTCTAAGAGCTTGCTTCTACGTAATTTTTTATGAATTAACACGGGAAGACTTTCAGCTGCTCATGCATTTAAACCGCCCTCACCCCACTTATGTGAAATAACCACCGACATAAATAACAATAAATACGACGGCTGCATCTAGCTCATGAAAACTCACCGTGCTGTGTGCTGCGCATGCATTTTTCCATCGAATTCCTGCCTGACATTTGCTACCTTTTGCAGGTAAAGATGCTAAAAGACCTAACAGGCCGGGCGCGATGGGCGGCTCACACCTGTAGGCCCAGCACCCTGGGAGGCCGAGGCGGGAGGATCGTTTATTTGAGCTCAGGAGGTTGAGACCAGGCTGAGCAAGAGCGAGACCCCCATCTCTACTAAAAATAGAAAGAAATTGGCTGGACAACTAAAAAAAAAAATAGAGAGAGAGAAAAAAAATGCGCGCTGCAGAGACGTGCGCGTGGGCAGGCGGAAGGACAAACCGTGCTGGGAATCGAACACCAGCGCTCAGGAGTCGGCGAGGGCCGGGTCGCGGCGCCTGACCTCAAAGGCCCTGCTCTCCCACCCCTCTGCGAACAAACCAGGCTCTGCCTCTGCCCGCTTCCCCTGCCCCTTCCCAGCGCATCTTCCCTTTCTTGGCTGGGCTGCCACCCTGTCTGATCCCTGACGGCCCAGCTTTATGCCCCAGCTCCGTGGACGGCCAACCAGGTGTAAAACGAGGCCAGCCCCCCGGTGGCCATTTGGAAAACTGGCTCCTAGAGTCACTCTCCTGGGTTTTCATCTTCTTAAGCCCCGTCCCAAGCGCATCTGTCACCCCTGGCCGCCTCTGGCACCTTACCACCGCTTTTTCTCTTCTTCTTCACTATGTTTTTTTTGGAGACGTAGTTCCTCACTCTGTCACCCGGGCTAGAGTGCCGTGGCCGTCAGCCTCGCTCACAGCAACCTCAAACTCCTGGGCTCAAGCGATCCTCCTGCCTCAGCCTCCTCGACGAGTAGCTGGGACTCAGGCATGCGCCACCATCGCCCGGCTA